AGAAAAAAAAAAGAAAAAAGAAAAAAAAAATGAGAGCTCGCAGGACGAATCGATTGGATTCTGCTCCTCTTACTAGTCGATTCGTGTTGACGGGTAATGAGCATTGGGAAAGTACTGTAGGACACTTGGATGACCTCCAATGTTTACACCTACAGAATGTTGTCCTTTCGATTCGTTTTTTGTTCGGAAAAAGTCACTCTTCAAATAAAAAAAAAAAGAAAGCAAAAAAAAAGAAAAAAAAATAAGGTTAAGTGATGAGGTTGCAACTTGTTCTGAGCATCTATGAGTTGTCTGTGGAATGTTGGTTGGATAGTAAATGTTTTGCCTTGTTGATTCTAGATGAGTAGTGGAATACTTGCGTATACTCGAGAATCGTGATCTTCTATTTGAGCTTCTTGTCCTTATATATTCGTACCTTTTCCTCAGCCACATTACAACCCGTGAAGTCCTCATTCACATATTTTGAACTTTGATTGTTTTCAAGTAATTTAAACGATAGGCAAGCATATGCTGAAACTTGAATATTGACCAATTTTGAGCGTTCCTATCACTTATTCATGTAAGAAAATGAGTGAAGCATACATGATAATCTATGTTTTGAGAGTTTGTCATTTCATGGCCAAGTCGATATTTGAGGCATATGGTCGTATGATTGTTGGAATTCGACTCAATTGAATTGGGCATTTTGAAGCTCTTCTTATTTGAAACCGTATCCATGCTCGTGTCTTGTTTTGTTTTCTTTTTGTTCGGGACGAACAAAGGATTAAGTGTGGGGGAGTTGTTTGTCCCATTTTTGTTGCGTTTTTCATTGTCTTTTTGTCTTTCTTTTTCCCCATATTGAGTCTTTTCGTTGGGTTTTATTCGTTTTTGTAGTTTATTGCGTGATTTGATATATTTTGGTATTTCTTTTGTTTGTTGTGTGTTTTTCCGGTTTTCTTTTATTTTTTGGTGTGCAGGTCGGAAGCCCCATGAGGAATGGATTTTGCTCAAAAATTGATCGAGCAATCATGGTTGTGAAGATGGATTCGTTGGCGACATATAGGAAGAAGCGGAACTCAATTTCGAGCTCGGACGAGCCCGAACGGGCTCAAACAGCAAAGTCGCGCAAATCACATTTTTTGTGTGCATGTCATAAGCTTTGGGAGGACAGGTTTTCAAGAAAATATTTGATGGGTTTGCATAGTTAGATAGAGGGGTTCGTTAGCGACGCGTAAAAAAAAACGGAACTCAATTCCGAGTTCAAACGAACCCGAACGAGCAAAAATCGTAAAGTCGTGCAGTGCAGCCCAGTTTTCTTCGCCGCGGCCGGGACCCATTTCTTCACCGCGGCCGCGGCGAACAAAAAACTGCCAGCGCCCAACCTTCTGCGGAAAAATGTCGCGGCCTCGGGAATAGTCGCGGC